CCCCCCCCTCCCTCAGATGCAAACGTGGATTGGCAGCTCGGAGTCAAACCTGGAAGTTTTCATCCCATTCCTGGGCAAATACCACCGCCTGGTTTCGGGGCGCTGCTGCCAGACCTGCACCCCCAGGAGCTGGGTAGGAGCGTTTGGGATCCCGGGAAGCCGAGGATCCACGTTCTCCATGACTGATCCTGTTTTTGGTGCCAGGGTGGATTCTATCCCGAGGATCTGGCTGCTCTGGGACTCCGTGATGTCAGCCGCTTGAGGGAGACAGACACGCGGTGAGGGTGCATGAGCTCTGTGCAGAAAACACCTGGAGAGCCACTTTTTCCCCCATATTTCACCAAAATGCCCGTGGGGATTCCTCTCCATCCTCCCTGGTTCCTCATTATTGCAAATCAAGCTCATTAATTAATTTTTGGAGGCTGGAAGTGGTGTCTCCGAGAGCCTGGGCTCTGCTCCAGGCATGGAGTGGAGGATTTGGGGTCGTGCCTTTATTTGTTTGAGCGAAGCTTGGAATCCTGATGGGAAGAACGTGGAGTTGGAGGGATTTTCTTGTTTCTGGCTCCTGCTGGCATCGCTTATAACGAGCCCTAGTTCCTGGGGAAAAGGGAAAACAGCTGCTTCCCTCTAGAAGGAGGAAAAATACCAGGAAAGGCAAAATTCTGGATATGCCACATTTTTCTCTGGGCAGGAGCCACCACACAGCCATCTCCAGATATTTTCATTCTGGAATGCCAGATTGCTTTGGCTCCACTCCCTTTAGGAAGCAATCCCTGGATTATCCATGTTTTGGTATTTTTTTTAATCCCAAATCAGATAATCAGCCTCAATTCAGTTCCGATATTCCCAGCTTCAACTTTGAAACTCTTGGGAGAATCCATTGGGGTCACAGGGAGTGCAGTTCTCCTGTGCCACTCCAGCCCTTCCTGCACACTCCAGGACATCCCAAAGCTGCCTCCCAGCGCACTCTGAGTGCAGATTGGGGGCAGATTGGGAAATTTCTGTGATTTGGGGTGCCCTGAAGCCAGGGCATCCTGGATTTCCTTCCTGCTGGGCAG